CTCTGGGCACATTAATGGCCATGATCTAGAGACTCACGGATAAATCTCGGAAGAAAGCAGTACACTGTAAAGATGCCTTTGGACCCCAAGATCATCATCCAGTTAAAAATTTAATTCCAGATTTAGCACCCTGATTATGCCACTGATATACCAAGAGTAGCACACCACATTTGCTGGGTTGTAAGGTAGAAGGCAACCGATCTTGATCAAAATATTCATAACAAGCAATACAAAATAAATTATTTACCATCGGACTTTGGGGAAGTTTGGGTGGTGGTGGGAAATTTTGAAATAATGGTGGTGGGATTGGTGTTGAAATGTTTAATGTAATAAATTATTGTGAACAACTTTATGGAAATAATTTTAAAGATTTTTTTCTGATCATTAGTTATTTAGAAATTGTTGCTTAATTTCCAAATGTTTGGGGAAATTTGATTGAGGAGTGGTGGTTTCTGCTACTGGTTTCTAGTTTGAGTCCTTTATGGTCATAGAAACACTGTGCATAATTTTCAATTATTTTAATGTGTTAGTTTGTTTTTTGAATACATATATATGTATATGCATAGTGGGGAATTTTCCATATATGCTTGAAAAGCATTATTATAATGCTATTTTAATGAAGCATTCTATAAGTGTGGATAACTCAAGCTTATTCATGCAGTTGGTCAAGGTGCCAGGGAGATAGTTCAACCAGCTGTAGGGCATGCTTTGCATGCAGGAGGCTCGGGTTCAGTTCCCAGTATCACCATGGTGCCCTGTACCACCACAAGCAACCCCCAGGCATTGAATTGGAAGTAAGCCCTGAGGGTTAAAGGTATAGCATAGGGCCACTTTGCATTTGGCCAACCTTTTAACTCCTGGCACCTGTTCAACTCCTGGCGTGGTCCTCATAATATAACCAGATATAACTCCAGTTTGCTGGAGTGATAGCACAGCGGGTGGGGCGTTTGCCTTGCACGCTGCCAACATGGCCGACCTGAGTTCGATTCCTCCGCCCCTCTCGGAGGGCCCGGCAAGCTACCGAGAGTATCTTACCCGCACGGCAGAGCCTGGCAAGCTCCCCGTGACGTATTCGATATGCCAAACACAGTAACAACAAAGTCTCCAATGGAGACATTACTGGAACCCGCTCGAGCAAATCGATGAACAACGGGAGGACCGTGACCATGACCGTGAGTACTGTGGTGATCATCCATGTAAAGAGAGGGGTTCGGCAGGGTGATTTCATCAAAACTCTTCAGTGACACCCTCGAGAACATCATGCGATGACTGGAACGGGAAGGAATGGGAGTGAAGATAGATGTTCAGCAACTACACCACCTCCGTTTCACTGATGACATCATTCTAATAACACCAAACATTAGCCAAGCGGCACAAATGCTGACTGTCTTCGACCATGAGTGTGGAAAGGTTGGACGGCAGCTGAATTTCACGAAGACAATGTTTATGAGAAACAGTCTCGATCCTGACGTTCCATTCACTCTCAATGGAACGAACATCTCCGAAGGCAATAGTTATGTGTACCTAGGTTGAGAAATCAACATGACGAATGACCTGGTACCTGAGTTGCACAGGAGGAAGAGAGCGGCTTGAAATGCCTTCAAGAGTGTGGAAGAAATAGCTAAGAGGATGAAGAACCTCCAGCTCCAGACACATCTTTTTGATTCTACTGTTTTTCCTGCATTAGTATATGCCTCAGAAACCTGAACCCTACGAAGATAGGATGAGAACGCTATTCGCTATTCGGGTCTCCCAAAAGGAATCGAAAGAGCTATGCTTCGAGTATCATGCTTCACTTAAGTGAGAGAAAGAATCCGGAGTTCTGACCTCCATCAACGATCAAGAATAAGGGATGTTGTCTCGTTTTCCAAGGCATCGAAAATCAGATGGGCTGGACACAAAATGCAATTTGGAGACGACCACTGGACTAGAGCTGTTACCTACTGGATTCCACAGGACGTCAAAAGATTGCGTGGCCGCCCACCTACGAGATGGTCAGACTTCTTTGTCAAGACCCTGAATGAACAGTTTGAGGCTCTTTGTGTTCCTGGAGTGAGCGGACGCCATTAGGCTACACTAGCACGTGACAGGGACAAATGGAGATGTTACTGGGACCCGCTGGAGCAAATAGATCAGTAACGGGATATCAAGTGATCAAGGGATTGAGTAATGTGGTGACCTGGATAATTTCTGGCACAGTCCAACCCATGCAGCAACCAGGAACTACCACATGGATTTGCTCTCAGATTGAACCACTAGCCTGAATGGTCAGGAATAACTAAGAGGGACCACTGGTGCAAGGACTTCATGGGAGAATCCTCTCTGACATTATACTTGTCCCCACCACCACAAAAAAAGTAACACATAGTGTTATTCAGTCCCTTGCTGATTTTTGTTTGTTCTGTTTATTGCTAAGATTGAAGCTTTGACATTTTCCATGTACATTTATGAATTTATCTATTTTTCCTTTTAGTTTTACCAAGTTTTTTCTTCATATGTTTTGAATTGTTCATAGGTACAAATACAATTAGGTTTAATATAAATTCACTGGGAATACTTTTCATTCCATAATTCTCTTTGATTCTAGTGGCATTACTTCATATGAAGTTCAGTCTAATTTGTTTTTAATATCACCACTCTATGTTTTTACTTTATCAAAAAAATTACTGTTTCTCTACTACTGTTTCCAATGTTTTTTCAACTCTTTTATTTAAACCTATTTATATAATTTATATACTTAATATTTTTAAAAAGAATTCTATATACTGCTTACCCTTAAACCTTTTCATCCAATCGGATCACCTCTTAATTTCATAGATATACTTAATTCATTAAATTTCAAATAATTACTAACATATTTTGGATTAAAGTTTACCATTTTATCACTTTTCTGTTTATTCTGTTTTATATTCCTCCATTTCCCCTTTTTCTTTTTATTATTTGAATGTTTTTTAGTATTGATTTAGGGCTACGTCATTTTTATATTGTGTTTCAGGTTTTGGGGGGATTATGAAATATATACAAAACATTTCACAGCCTAGAGTGGATATTCTCATGACTTAAAGTAAAACTTATACGTTCCATACAAGCATGTAAGTTTCTTCATCATTCTTTTGTTATGAATATCATATGTATTGCCTTTATATACAAGGAAAAAAACTACCACAATGAATTTTTTATCTAGGCAGTCAGAACGTTTGAACCTAAGAGAAAAATATCTAAATCACTCATCCAGGTTTTTATCACTTCTGTTGCTCTTTCTTCATTCCTGAAGTTATAACTTTTCTTCTGGTATAATTATCTTTCAACCTAAATAAAGTTCCTTTTTCATTTCTGACACCAAGTTTAATATACACAGTTCTCTAACAACATCTTCCTTTTGTTATCATTCCTGAAGAATTTTTCACTGGAAATAGAATTTGAGGTTGACCATTCTTTACTCTGTATACTTTAAAGATGTCACTCAGCGGTTTTTCAGGAGTAAATCCTGAGCTACTGGGTGTGACACTCCCCCCAAAAAAACACCAAAATAAATACATTTAAAACATGGAAGAGTGTAAGATAACATTGGGTTTGTCCTTTCAGCCTTGCTGCAGAGAACTTAGTTTACCTTAAAGCAATGTCTTTTCTGTATAGACACAGGAAGACAGTTAATATTATGCTTTGTAACTTGGGAGTTGATTGACTCCAATAATATTTACTCCTGGTCATCTGCTCTCTCGACTCAATGAGGGACTGAATGGACCCAGGGCAAGCTGTGAGCTACCCTGGCATCGAAATGGGCCAGGCCAAAGCGCCACAACACTCAACTATAAATTGAGAGCATGATCATAGACAAATGCTGTCATGATGCAAAGTAACGATGAAACTAGGACCCTGCTGGGGTTAGGAAGACTAACCTGGCCTGAAGACTGTGGTCTGGAACATATAGTAAGATGTCCTCAGGAAGAACCAAACTTTAAGTTTGATATGTCTCTTACTGTGCTCATACAGAATGACATTACTAGAAATACTAGAAATAAATTTACTATAGCTAATTAAGTGGACTACTAGCTGAGGAAAGAAGAAAATGACACACCCTGGATGGGATCCCTCCCTGACGGTGTGTCCTAGTAATACGAAGTAATCTCTTTAGATTAGATTTTATCCTTGAGTTAATCTCCTGGAGGAGTGGCTTGACCTCTCTTTGTTGATTTGTTAATGCTCAACCCACCTTTGTATCATCACCCTATGTGATTGCTATATAAACTAAGACTGTAAGATCTGAAGAGGTTGGGCTCCAGAAGTCAGGGTCAGGATCCAGGGAAGAAGAAGCAGAGAATGGAAGAAGGGGGCAGAGTCAGAATCCAGAGCGAGAAGGGCTCCAGATAGAGAAGCAGAAGCGCTCCAGAGAAAGAAGCAGAAAGGCTCCAGAGAGAGAGATCGGAAGAGACCAAAGGAGAAACTACAGAGACAGAGTCAGAAATAGACAGGCAAGAGAGCACAATGGCACACACAGAAGCAGAGTACAAAGGAGGAGCCATCCCGATCTGGTCCATACACAGTGGCTCGAAAGCACCAAACATGTGCTGCGACAGAGAGCCATCAGGAGAGCCTGCCAACACACATCATCATCTTCCTATCCCTCCACGCGTGCCTAAGATATTTTTTACAGAAGAGAACACAAGGAAATGGAAATATATTCCATTTTCATGGATTGGAAGAATTAACACCATCAAAATGACAATCTAGGGCAACTTTCTGGGATCCCACAGTGGAAGTTGATCACAATGGCAAGGTGGAGAAATTAATGAAGACTATCGGGGCTGGAGCGATAGCACAGCGGGTAGGGCGTTCGCCTTACAAGCGGCCAACATGGCCGACCCGAGTTCGATTCCTCCGCCCCTCTCGGAGAGCCCGGCAAGCTACCGAGAGTATTCGATATGCCAGACACAGTAACAACAAAGTCTCCAATGGAGATGTTACTGGGCCCGCTCGAGCAAATCGATGATCAACGGGAGGGCCTTTACCTTATCCAATAGAAATTCATGAGTATTTATCAACGTTTGAGAATTCCATTGGTGCTGTGGATGATATGCTGAAGACCATGATGTCTGTTTCTAGAAATGAGTTGCTGCAGAAGTTGGACCCACTTGAACAAGCAAAAGTAGATTTAGTTTCTGCTTACACATTAAATTCAATGTTTTGGGTTTATTTGGTTACTCAGGGAATAAATCCTAAGGAAGATCCAGTAAATCAGGAATTGGAAAGAATCAGAGTATACATGAACAGAGTCAAGGAGATAACAGACAAGAAGAAGGCTGGCAAGCTGGATAAAGGCACAGCTTCAAGATTTGTAAAAAATGCACTCTGGGAACCAAAACCCAAGAATGCGTCAAAAGTTGCCAATAAGCAGAAAAGTGAATGGACTATGCATTAATCCAGGCCATCAAGTCTGCCAGAGGGGAAAGGGTGTTGCCCCATTCGCCCTCTCCTCTCTGGAAAGAAAGATGGCGGCCACATGGGAGCCTTGTGGACAGCAGGTATGAGCCGGGAGTGTGGGGGCGACTAAAACCTCATGGGAAGGGGGACGTTTCGGTCCGCCCTTCACGCCCTACCGAGGCCACCAGTTGCCCCCCAATAGCGGCTCTCCAGCACGGCCACGACTCCAGAGCACAGAAACCAATTTCTTAACTATCTGACTTTCAGTAGAAATACTTCCAGGGTCAATAAGTAAAATAGCAGAAATCCAAAACCAACATATAATTCTTGAACCCAGCTGTAGAAAGCAAATCACTTCACAATGCTTTGTCAGCATGTCTGATTCGGGGGGGAGGGGGGTAAACTCTAGTGGTGAATCTTTTATTGAAACAATGAATCTAATCAAAGCAGATAGAGTGTTAACTAGAAGTCATCTGCCCCACAGGGACTGGGAGGAGTGGGGGGTGGGGTTTTATTGGGGTTCTTCATGGTAAAAAATAAGTTTTGGTAAAGGGAAATGTGCTTGATATTTGCATGACTGAGACCTAAACCTGAAAGCTTTGTAACCTTTCCCATGGTGATTCAATAAATAAATAAATAAATTTTAAAAAAAAAGTTGCCAATAAAGGGAAAAGTAAAAATTAACCTTTTTGTATGTACATATATTCAAAAAGTTCATCTTTTTTTGTTGTTGCTCTTACCCACTTATGTGGTAAAGTTTTAAATATGTTTTTTATTGAATTATATATAAAATGTGCATTTTAAATTTGTAACGTTGATTACTTCTTTACCCCCAGAAAGATTAAGCTATCTTTATTGAATTTCCTATAGAATATCATAAGGTTTCTAACATTGTGGTATATTTTATATTTATAGTTTACCGTCTCCTGACAAGACCCATGTTCTTATATAAGTCAATCTTACAAGTTCCATTTTATAAGCAGATAGGAAAGTTAATTTTAATGTCCTCTCTAAACATTTACCTGTAAATTAATAATGGCTTGATCAAGTTTACTATATGAAGAATGAAGTTAAAAATACCTTATTTTCACTGTAATGAATGAAATATTTAGATGTTTTTATTTTTTGGTTATTTTTTACTGTATTGTGTTTTTATTTTGGGACTTTCGATTTTTTTGATACTTGTGTAAAATTGAAGAGTTTTGGTGAAATGGTATCACCCTGCCGCACCCCTCTCTTGATATGGATGATTACTTCTTTGTAGAATGGTGAGATCTTGGTAGTGAATCCGCAATAGAGCTCAGAAGGATCCTGATGTATTGAGTTTGTACGCCCTGATTGGCTAGGGCTTCCATGACCGCTCCGTCTCAACAGAATCAAAGGCCTTCTTTAAATCAATGAACGTTAGACAGAGCGGCATCTTGAACTCCCGAGAAACCTCAATGAGCTTAGTAATCGTGTGGATATGGTCGATGGTACTGAATCCTTTTCGGAATTCGGCTTGTTCACATGGTTATCCTTCATTGAGAACATCATGCGACGACTGGAATGGGAAAGCATGGGAGTGAAGATAGATGGTCGGCAATTACACCACCTCTGCTTTGCTGATGACATTGTTCTAATAACACCAAACATCAGCCAAGCGGCACAAATGCTGAACGACTTTGACCGTGAATATGGAAAGGTCGGACTACAGCTGAATCTTACGAAGACAATGTTGATGAGAAACGCCTTGTTCCTGATGCTCCATTCACTCTCAACGGAACCACCATCTCCAAATGCAACAGTTATATATACCTAGGTCGAGAAATCAATATGATGAATGACCTGGCACCTGAGTTGCGCAGGAGGAAGAGAGCGGCTTGGAACGCCTTCAAGAGCGTTGAAGAAATAACTAAAAGGACAAAGAACCTCCAGCTACGAGCACATCTCTTCGATTCCACTGTTCTTCCTGCATTAACATATGCCTCAGAGACCTGGACCCTACGAAAACAGGATGAGAACGCTATTCGGGTCTCTCAAAGAGGAATCGAAAGAGCTATGCTTGGAATATCACGATTCACTCAAATGAGAGATAGAATCTGGAGTTCTGATCTTCGTCAACGCTCAAGAATCAGGGACGCTGTCTCATTTGCCAAGACATCAAAAATCAGATGGGCTGGACACGTAATGAGGTTTACAGACAACCGCTGGACTAGAGCCATTACTGATTGGATTCCATGGGACATCAAAAGATCACGTGGATGCCCACCTACAAGATGGTCAGACTTCTTCGTCAAGACCCTGAATGATCGGTTTGAGGCTCTGCATGTTCCTAGAACGAACAGATACCATTGGGCTACGCTAGCACGCAACCGGGATGAATGGAGACGTTACTGGCACCCGCTCGAGTAAGTCGATGAATAACGGGGATTAAGTGATTAAGTGTGTAAAATTAAGACTCTTAAGGCTATTTTAATTCTTGGCAGTTTGTATCGTTAACTTTAGATGGAATGTATATTGATGGCTGAATTTTGTCAGAGTAACAGTGCCCTCTCAATAAAGATGGTATATGTTGTATAGTTGATCTGCCTGTGTTTTGAGTAAACTTTCCCTTGAACTGAGGAAGATAGGTTTTAGAAATTATTTAAGGTAGAGAAATCCAGGAGTGTTTGTGCTGCATAATGCCCAAGTTCTTATAGACTACTTTTTTAGGATTATTTTTTTCTTGCATACGTGTTCTTAAAGTTTTATCAAGTATATACAAGTGTTTTGGAACAACCTTTTATTTTATATAATGCCACTTAAGCAAAGGAGAACCCCAAAGGGAATTATACTGTGCTTATATTTTATATTTTGATCCAATGTGGCACTTGCTGAAATCTCATGACTGGGACGAATGGAGACGTTGCTGGAGCCTGCTTGAGGAAATCAATGAACAATGGGATGACAGTGATACAGTGAATTTATACTATTAATATTTTAAATTCATATATCTGTAGAAAAGAGAAAGTTATACAGTTTCTGAAAAAAATTATTAGCTTGCCATTAATTGAGAAGTTTGTGGGAGATCAGATTAGCTTTATTTACTTATATGTAAATGTGTGTAAATGTCACCACCTCCACAATAAATTTTTTCTTAGAGTTGTTTCTCTTTCTCAGCCATCTAGATAACTAATGAGATCAAATCCAGATTGTTTTCAGAAAAACATAATCTAAAGATTAAGTAAAACATAGCTGTCAATTTAGGTGATGCTTTAAACAGACTTTGTTAAGGATCTTAAGAACAAATCTGGCCAAATTCCTCTGCTAGAACAATGGGCTTTTAAGATCCTTAAGGGAAGAGTACATGAGAACAAAGAACTAGAGAAAACTACAGAGAGATTTTATATTAATTTTTTCCAATAAACTGGATTCTGACTAATATATTATCCACAAGGATTGTCCAGAATGGGGGTTATTTGTTTGTTTTTTGGTTTTGGACTTCTCAGGGCTTATTTCTGGCTCTGCACTCAGTAATGACTCCTGGCAAGAAACCAAGGACCAAATGCAGTGCCAGAGATCAAACTCAGGCAGGGCGTGTAGAAGGGAAGCGCCTTACCTACTGTACTATTTTTCAAGCCCCATTTGTTTTTTAAGTAGATAAGATTGTACTCAAAGTAACTGAAACAAAACGGACAGAAAAGGAACTTTGAGCCCACAAACTTCTATAAGCAAGATGCTGACTAAAAAAACTTCATATTGGGACTGAAGTGATAGCACAGTGGGAAGAGCATTTGCCTTACACACTGCCGACCCGGGTTCGATTCCCAGCATCCCATATGGTCCCCCGAGCACCGCCAGGAGTAATTCCTGAGTGCATGAGTCAGGAGTAACCCCTGTGCATCGCTGGGTATGATCCAAAAAGAGAAAAAAAAAACTACATATCTATAGACATCGTCTTCTGAATACAAAGGGGGAAAAGGATACCTTAGAAGAGGAAACTAAGATTTTAAGAGGATGTAGTTATGACCTACAGCGATCTATAGATTATAAAACTGAGTCATATCAATTGTTATACCTGAAAAATCACTTCCAAGACCGCTGTCCACATCTGAACATTAAGGTGGTGCCCTAGTAGGATACCATTTGGAAAAGGGATTACGTAGGCTTTTCCCTTTGTGGAAGAGATGTGACTTGGGGTCAGAATGTGGTCTCTGGCAGATGTTATTTTGCAAATATTCCCAAATACACTCCACATCCCATATGGTTTTGGTTTTGGTTTTTGTTGTTGTGGTAGTAATACTGATAGCCTTTTTCATAAAATGATGGGGCCTATTCCCTCTTTCTTATGTTTTGAGTGGACTATTTGTGACTGCTTCAAGTAATAAATTATGAAAAATAATAAAACTAAGTTAATTATGTGCTCTTCCTTGCACCTTATTTTGGAATACTTATTCTTGGACAGTACATAAAGTGCAGTGAGAAAACCCAGCTCACATGGAAAAACCAGAGGGAGATGTTCTGGACACAACCCTAAAAGTACCCCAGTCAATAGCTGATGTCAACCACCAGACACGATAAACAAGGAAGGCTTTGAGATTATTCTAACCTCTTGAGATTCACCAAGTAAGAATGATATTCAATGCTCCATAAGCTCTGAAGAATTGTAAAAAATAAAGGAGAGGTCCTGTCCTAACTGTGGGAGGAAGGAGATTATTGCACCGAGTCAGTCAGATGAGGTCCAGGGGACACAAGTAAATTATACTGTGCTCTGTCTTCTCCTCAGAGAGAATACTTATGTAATAAAAACTTGTGTAATAAATAAATAAAGAGATCTTATATGGTACCTGGGCTCAAACCTGGATCAGCTGCTTGCAGTACAAGCACTCTTCCCATTTCATCACTCCCTTAATATTCCAGCCTTTTCTTTAGTGATCTTATAGCTAAAGAAAGTTGTTTCATTTTTGGATTTTGTTTGTCTACTTTGTTTTGGGCCCACACCTAGCCTACGCTAGGGTAAATAAAGTGAAGTTCTTACTCTTTTTTGGTGGGAACGGAGGGCAGCTGAGTGTATTCCTTATACAATTTATAATATAAACCCATAACTTTGGGGAGGTGGTTGTTGGAATTATGTTGGAATCATAGAACCTCCCTATGACTCTCAGAAACCTAGACAGGCAGTTCCATGCAAGGACCCACAGGTAAAGTGCTGCTCAGTTTCTGCAGTGCTTGGGATTTCCTGGGACATACAGTGCTCAAGGGCCTCCAGTGTGCTTAGGAGACCATATAGTGCCAAGGGATTGATCTGCAGTCAGCCACATGCAAGGCATGCAAAGGAAGGAAGGGAGAGAGGAAGGGTCATGTTCCATTCTCTGTCCACCGCCAGGTGTGATCCCAGAGCAAAAAGCCTGGACTAAGTCCTGAGCACTCCCCCTTCAAAAGAAGAAAGAAAGAAACCCGCTGTTTTCTTTTTACAGAAAATAATCTAATTAAAGCTTCATTCAAAATAAAAATAAAACTTCATATAGAGCTAGGGACATAGCTGAATGAGCTGGAGCAAGGCATGGATTGCATGACTCCAAGTTCAATCTCGGATACCACATGACTCCCAAGCACCACCAAGTGTGATCTTGGTGGTCCCAAAGAATCACTAGGATGATTGTAGTAATACTGAGCAACATATCACTGGACCGAGCACCTGTCAGGTCTGGCACTGATGGAGCAACTATCGAGGAGTGGCCCCTTGGTCACTGAGTACTGCTGGAGAAGCCACCCAAAGTAAGCCTCATCCTACATTTATAGAAAATCATTTAAGTGGCAACCGGAGATTTATAGAATTTTTTATAATCACTTTATAACACAAAAACTTTTAGAATTATATAAATACTGCCAGGCCAACTCAAGATATTGGATAACATTGGGTTGTCCTTGCTTCTACCTCAAGGAATTTAAGGTTTATGAGCTACTCCTACAACAGTGCCCCTGAGACACACCCAATTCCATAAAGCACTAATAATCCTACATTGCTTTTCTCTTTCCTTTATGTCATTTGCATGGTTTACTTGGT